TATTTGTTTGTATGAAAAGTCTAAAATTAAAATTCGATAGTGGATAAACAAATCTTATCGTTTCTGAGAAATATCTCCTTGATAGTTTTTACTTTTCAAGTAAAAAGTGCATTGGAATATGTCATCGCTCTGATTCGAGGCAATGATCATATCGATTCCACTTCATCTAACAAGGCATATTGTGATGTGTACAGCTCAATCGTTGGTATGTGTATTCTCTTTGTTCGGTGACACACTCACACCCTAACAATTCTGAAACTTTCGACTCTAAATCTACGGCTCAGACGTATCGACAACGATTTTTCTGAAACTGATGAATTTGAAAGTTTGCTTTTAATATTTTCTAAGAATCTCTTATTTGTTCAGATACTTTTTCTATTTTGAATGTACAAACAATTTTCTTTCAGTTATAATATATGACTGCATACAGATGTGCTTGATCAGCTAAACCAATAAATCACTCGAAAAAAAAACAACGAATTTCATATAGAAAATGTGTTAGTCAAAAAACAAAATTCAAAATATCAAACTTTTTAAAGACATTACAATAAGAACCTATAGTTATAAAATATTTTTATTTATGTTAAGAAAAGATTTAGAAAATCGTCAAAATATACTTTGTCAAAAAGGTTTATTAATCATAAGATTGGTTACGTTTGAATAAGTTTTACTGATAGATGAGTCATTATTTCTTTTTCATTACTAACCCTCACAAAGCGATGTTTCTTATTTATTTTGCTAGAACAGAAAAAGCATCGTTTCACCTTCACATATTTTCTTTTATACGTAGTAACTCACAACATGAAAAAATAATTATTGAAAACAAAAAAATAACAACAACACATTAAAATATCTTTAGAGATTATATTTATATTCAATATGAATGAAATCAATTCAAATCAATTAAATACTAATGGTACTGTGACATCAACTGATTCAGGAGAAGAACATTCACCATTAGCTTTATTTATTCTTCAACGACCTGTAAACGATGTTCTAGAAGAAAAAACACCTTATTATCAATTAAAAACACCATTATGTGTATCACACCGATATGAAGAAGAATTTTTTAATTATGTAAGCTACAAAATTAATTTATGTACAGAATTCAAACAGAAATTTCAAAAAAACAAAAAAAAAACAAAAATTCATTTTATTTATAGTTTCATATGAATTATTTTGGTGAACTTGAACGTGAAGGTTTATTTATAGCTTCTGTTCGACCTATTCGAATAAAATCATATGAAATATGTAGACAATTATCATCTTTTGATCCAGTGACAAATGATGATGAAAATGAATATTTAGTTAAAGCTATTATTCGGTAAGTTGGATTATGTTTTTTTTTCTAAAAAAACAATTCTTATTAAAAAAACAAAAAAATTTCATGAAAATTTCTTTTATTTCTTTTATTAAAGTACACAGAAGAACAATTATGATGTATCAGGAATAATTAATATAAAAAATGAAGACAACATTTTACAATTTCTATTAGACAAGACTAAATTATCACCTATTTGTCATGTTGAACTTATTCACGATATCACAGTAAGAAAATTACTAAACATAAATATACTGCCGAGAAATTATATTTCTGATGCATTTTACGTTACTTCATTATTTGTAAAAGTAATGTAGAATGATAAGAAGTATTAGTGCTATAGAAGGAGCAAATGTCAAATTTTTATTTTCGATTTTATTCGATCTCGAGGAGAGAAGATGATTTTCTCAAAACAAGATCTATTCATCGATACTTAACTTTCATGATGACTTTCCTTTATTTTTTTGAGAAGAATCTCTTAGAAGTAAACTAACTGAATAACTCTCGATTGCTTATGGCTATCGAGCTCGAATTTTCATCATTAGAAAGAGCAAATGAGGAGATTTTCTTGAGTTTTCACAGCAATCTACACCAGCCTAAAATAACCTTTATGCCTGGTAAAATTTCGAAATCTCTCTATAGTTTATTTGAATTAATACTTCAAAGCTATAGTTTTAAAACATGGAAATTGTACCAGAAATAAAGGTTGTTTTAGGCTAGCGAAGATTGCTGTGAAAACTCAAGAAAATCTCCTCATTTGCTCTTTCTATTGATGAAAATCCGAGCTCGATAGCCATAAGTAATCGAGAGTTATTCAAAAAATAATGAAGACTATTTTTCAAAAGAAAAAAATCCAACAATAATATGCATACTTTTATCGAAATGAAACGCAAGAAACATTTGAATATAAAAGATTTCTAATTCTTATGGTTAACTATATTTAACATAGAGAATTTTTATAGAATAGAATTTAATATTTTCTCTCTTCTATTAGATATTATTTTTAAACATAATTCAATATATATATATATATTATTTATTAAGGCAAATGAAAAAATTCTTGAGTTTGATAAATATAATGATGAGCAACTTTCAATGAAAATTGGTATTGTTTATCAAAATTTAAATCAATCAAAAGAAATTGACATATTAAGTAATAATGAAATGTCGACTGAAATGGAAATGTTTCTTAATTTAATTAGTGAACTTGTTCAATTAAAAAATTTTAATAAATATCGTGGTGATCTTGATATAAAAACTGATCAACATGGAATTAATTCTTATTTTACTACGTATCAAAATCATCAAATTATGTTTAATGTAGCACCAATGATTCTATCGGATAAAAATGATCTTGAATTTATTCAACGAAAAAGTTTAATTTCTAATGCATTAATATGTATTATTTTTCAACAAGAAAATAATCTTTCATTTCAACCAAATTTTTTTCTTGGAAAAGTAACACAAGTCTATATTATAGTTCAACCAATTCATAATCAATTCAATCTTTATTATAAAGTTCGATTTTCTTTTTTTACAAAATCAGAAGATAGAATAATTTAATTAATTTTTTAGATTGAAATTTGGCGTCGTACTGATATTGAACCAATAGTTAATCCATCTGTTGGTATATTTAAACATGATAAATCATTTCGTGATTATTTTCTTACATTAATTTTAAATACAATGAATACAATTTTAAAAAAAGATTTTTTTCAAAAACGTATTATTGAACAAAGATATCGTTTAAAAAATGAATATCTTATGAAACTTTTTCAAAGATTTAATACTTATTCTAAACATGAATTTTCAACATCACATAACAATGATAATAATATACCTATTGAAAATTCAAATATAAGAGAACAAATAACATTGAAACATTTTCAGGTTCCCAAGATAACAAAAATGATGGAAAAATTAAATGTTCATCATCGATCAAAACAACCTCTTCGTTATACAGCAAGTGCAGAAAATATAAATCAAACAGACATTGTAACATCACCAACAATAACAAAACAAAATCCTTGGACATCAGTCAATCAAAGACTAAGACGCCTTTCATCTGCGGTGAGAGTTATTTTTTTTCTTTTTCATTTAACAAAAAAAAAAGGAATATTACTTTTATATCTAAATATTGAGTTCAGACGTTAAATGTTAAACATTCACATTCGCCAACTAGAGCCGAATCTCCATCGTCATTATTCAAATATGTTAATTCTCAACAAGAAGAAGATCTAAAGTCACCAGAAGAACCATCAATGAAAACAATTTTATCATTGGCTAAGAATAGAAAACATTCTATTGGACTGAGTCCTGAAATGTAAGAGAGAAAAAAAATCATCTATATTTTTGATAAATAACAATATGAAATTTTAATAATAGTCAATAATAATCTACTATTATTTATCATTTTACAGGGCATCATTGACAGTACCAAACATGTATCAAGATAAAATCAATGGGAACTCGGATAAAAAAAGATTACGCAAATTGTCATTTTCATAAAAATGAATCAACATCTAGAGACTAAAACAAACAAATACTTAATTTTTATTTAATTAACATTATTTTAATATCTTTTAAATCTCTTTACTTGTCAATTCTTCTTTAGTATTTTATTAAATATTCTGTTTCTAAAATAACCGATAGCAATAGTACAGCCAAACTAAATATTTAATGACGAGAAATTTATCAAATTCAATTAAAAGACGAGCTCGATTACTTTGTGATATTTCACAAATATCATCTTCAACTTTCAAATACTTTTAATTGTTATAAAAAATACGAAAAATAGTTCTAATTCAAAATTTAATTGTCACGGATATTTTTACACAAACTTTCATCCCTAGTGAAGGTACTCATAGGCGAGTACTCAAAAAGTACTCACGCGCTTTGAGTACTCATCAGTAGTACTCCTGCTAGAATCTGAATATCTGAGTACGACGATCGAGCACTCGCTGTGTAATATTGAGTGTTTTGTGAGTACTACTATCTAGTTTCTGTATGCTCTGCTGGTCTATGTAAGATACTCATAAGTATATTTTTGGTTAGTACCATTGTACTATATTAATTTTTATTTAATATTAAAATACTACCGAAAAACAGAGGACATAATGAAAGGTTAAGAAAAGTGATCACAACATGAGGACAACAAGTTTGGTATCAGTTTCATATATTTTAACGTAAAGATTATAGGCATAGAGTCTTTATTATGCGCGAAGAAATTTAAATATTTTCTGTATTTACATACCATAAAAATACAATTTTATTTATTCTTTTCATTTGTCTTTCGAAAAAAACACATAAAAACGTACTTTCATTATATAAAAATAAAGAAAAAAAGATTTAATTATCTTCTCTAACAATAAACGCTTCTTTGTCTATATCCTAGAGCGTGAAAGTACAATAAGACATAAATTAAGAACAGTAAAATAAAATGAAGCAGAAAAATAATAAATTGATCAACGACGATGCAAAACGTGATAATAAATGAACGTACAGTATTTTTTATTGCACTAAAAAACTAAACAGACATTTTTAAATCTGTCGCTATTTACAATTATCTGAAAATTTACAAAAAAATAAATACAAAATAAAATTATTTGTCTATCGTTTATTAACGCATCTTCTTATGTGAAAATCGTGATCGATTTGTAACACAATTTGCGAGTTGCCTTTTGTTCCATGATATTCTACAATCAATCTAAAAAAAATTGCATTTTAATGGAAGAATTTTTGCCTAAATTTAGGAAATAAAATAAAAACGAATTTACATTAATATATTTAGAACTTGATCTTTCAGAAGAATTGAACAAATTAAAAATCGTTTTTCTTTTCTATCTTAAAGTCACCATTTGTTTTAGCCGTATAAATGATTCATCCAAAAAAAAATAGAGAATAGAATAAATAATTTATTTAATTGATTTTCTCTGTTTTTCATTTTATTACATCAGTTTTTTTTTTATTATATAGCTCCAATTTATTTTTGTATATACTAATGCATAAGTGTTTTGCTAAATATTCTGCGAAACAACTAGAATGAGTACAACTTTGAGTACTCACATGTCTGCCTATGAGTAAATTTTTAAAAATATACTCTTATGAATACTCATTAGAGTACACGAAGACTAAAAATACACATAAAATTCCTCGAGTACTCGCGTGAGTAATATGAGTACTCACTGTAGTAGGTCGTACTCGCTTGATGAGTATTTTCACTAGGGATAAGATCGATTTTTGACATTTGCTGTAAGCTCATGAAGTCGATTTAGAATAGATTTTGATACACTTGAATGAGTTTCATGTGCATGTATAAGTAATGCAGTGTAATGCGTCATATTTTATTCATAATATTTTCGATTGACTACAACAAAAAGTAGTAGTGATAAAAATAAAGATGTCACATGTGTCCAAAAAGAAGCAGATATTTTTTCATAAGAAAAATGCACTTCAGACATTCTTTGCCCCAACAATCGAGTCTAATAATCATATCATCTGTAGTATTTTTGTTTTTCTCGAATAAGATTAGTAAATTTTGAAAATATTAAGGCAAATAAATATGATAAATTGATGAGTATATTTACTCGATTAAAAGATTTTTGGATGAAACTTGAGTTGCATTAACATCGTGGGTATATTATGAACCATTTCAAAAGAAAATTTATATCATCAAGGGTGTGAATATGGATGCAATTCTTTGTATTCTATGTGACTAGAACTTCTCGAAAGAAAATTCAATATTCTTAAAAGTATTTATTATTGACTATTTGATAATGGTCAAACAATAAGTTAGAAAGCTTTGTTGAATTGCTATAACTAGTACAAAAAATGGATTAAAATTCAGTTGATTTTTTGTTCTTCTGTTGTTTTATTGATCAAGTTTAATAATAAAAAGAGGATCGTCAGTATTAATCAATTGATTAGATTTTATATAAATATGATATAATTTTCGATTATAATCAGATATAATTGTTATTTCAGTTTTCATAACTTGAATAGTACAAAGAATTGTTTGATCAACAATTATTTTATCATTGATATAAACAGATATTGATTGAATGATACCACCAACCATAGCATAAATAATTTTATGATTATCATCTAATTATTGCAAAATTTCGTTGTTGTGAATCATTTGATACTTCATTGTAATCATTATTATTAGAATCAATTTCTTTTATTAATTCCATTTCTATTTGCTGCATAGTTTTTTTGAGCAATATATATTTTTTGTTTAAAATTTAATTAAATCATCATCAACACAATCTTCTAATTGTTTAATATTGAATCAA